ATTTCTCTTTTATTAGCTAGGATTTGTTGTGTGAATTGTGGTTCTTTTTAATTGTTTATTTTCAGAGGCAAAATGCAAAAATAAAAATAAAAGTAACAAACAAAACTGAAAGCTGGCCGATTTTCAGGAAGATTTTATTATTTGATTAAATCCCAACCTGTCTCTTGTCCAGTTTCCTTATGGCAATGCTTCTCAGATATGAAATTTCAGACCAGCAGTGCTGACCCCACCTGGGAATTTGTGAGAAATGCACATTCTAAGCCCGTTTCAACTCATTTGGCCAGAAGCTCTTAGAAGTCAGACTCTGGGATCTGCCTTGTGAAAAGCATTCCATGTGTTTCTGGTGCACAGGAGAGTGAAAAATACTGCATCAAGGCAGGCATTTCCCCTAACCGCACCCCTCCTCTGGAACAAAACACTTCGACCCTGCACTCTAACCCCAACGTCTGTGTTCGTGACCTTGGAAATGATACTTTGACTGCAAGAGCCTTTACCTCTGATGTCTCTCTGGTATTTCCTTGCACGTTCTGATTCTTATTCCTCTCCTCACACATAGCTAGCAGTGCTTTGGGGATGTACAAAATCACTTTCAAATATCTATTTTGTTCTCCTAGCTATTTTATCTCTTATGAGAAAATTAAATTAGTGCCATAAATGTGAGGGAAACTGATTGGATAAGGCTAACTAACTCTTGTTGGCCTTGTTCCATGAATTCTCAAGGCATAAGCACTTTCTTTCTTTTAAAATTTTCAATTACAGTTGACATTCAGTATTATCTTATTTGCGGGTGCATAGCATAGTGGTTAGACCTTTATATAACTGGTGAAGTGATTCGCTCCCAATAAGTCTAGTACCTCCCTGACACCATACATAGTTATGCCAATATTACTGATTACAATCCCTATGCTGTACTTTACATCCCCATGACTATTTTCTAAGTATCAATTTGTACTTCTTAATAGATTCACCTTTTTACCCCCACATCTTCCAATTTGGCACCCATCAGTTTGTTCTCTTTATCTGTGAATCTGTTTTATTTGTTCATTTGTTTTATTTTTTAGATTCCACAGATAAGTAAAATCTTAAAATGTTTGTCTTTCTCTGTCTAACTTATTTAACTTAGCATGATGCCCTCTAAGTCCATCCATGTTGTCACAAATGGCAAGATTTTGTTATTTTTAATGGCAGAGTAATATAATTTTAGACATTTCTTGTGATAGAGTTATAATGAGTTGTCTTATCAAGGACCAGTAGGAAGGCTTAGCTTGGAATGTAAACATTTTAAATACTTGAAAGCATTTTCAAGAAAACTGAAAGTAGATATTAATGTCCTTAACTTTTCTCCTGGACCTCCTTATTTAACATAAAAAATTCTCCATGTGCTTGTTGCTAATGAGGGTCCAGGACATCCCCATAAACAGCACGGAAAGAGCCCGTATTTATTAAACATGTATTTTGATCAGAGTACAGCAAAAGAGACTTGTTCTGAGGAAAGAAAGCAAGATGCAGAGACAGTTCTCCTCCTTCTGAAGCACAGAAACAGTGAGGAAAATAACTGTCCTCAACCAACACCCTCATTGTGCCAAGTCTCAGCCACTCCTCTGGCGCTAGGGCTGTGTGTGTGGACTTGGTGATTCAGCTCTGCCCCATTTGAGAGATGGCTTTTATCCAGTTATTCCCTTTTATTTGCCTTCCAGGCTCGCTGATGAGGCCCAGGTTTGAGAGCAGCTAAGTTGGTCCCTGGTCATTTGTTTGAGGCATGTCTGGCCTTAACCTATGGGTACATGAGGCTTTCCACAGGCTGTGTGGCCAGGCATGAGACTCTGTGCTGGTCCAGGAAAGTAGATTTGGATTGACTATTTCAAAGTCAGCCCCTACTAGGCATCTTTGAAATGGTTGCATGCACCTCAACCTGCAGTTGTAAGTTGTACAAGGGCATGGAAGATTTGAAATGACACATTTTAAGATCTCAAATTTCCCCAAATCGGCTTGAGAAAGTGCCCAAGATTGCATTGTAATTCTAATTCTCCTTTCTGACTGCTTCCACTTTAGTAATTGTCCAGGGGAGAATTTTTCTTTACTTTCTTCCTTTAATAGTCATTTGATAAAGCCTGGTAAAATATTAGCAGTATACTGTCTAGATATTGAGAAATTGAATGAATTTAATACCAAGTTACAAAGCCCTTTGCAAGTCAGGTATTTTCCAATTCATTGCTTTAAAAGAAATTGAAAGAGGAACTAATTGAATTGTCAGCTGTGCGATCATTAAAATAATTTCTGAAGCTATATTACTCTGTGATTTTTGGCGTATGTTTTGGAAAAGGTTCAAAGAATTGAGTGACATTTCTCTACAAGATTTTCATTTCCATATCCTTGCTGATGTGAAGTAGGTTCCTTTTAAAGGAGGAAAAAAAGGAATAGGAATAAAATTGATCCTTAGCTCTATCTCATTCTAGCAGTGATGGTAGTTATCCAGGGTATAATTTTAAAAAGCCTCATCAATCCTACTAAGAGCTATATTTCCAGTAAAAGCTTACTCATTAGCTTTAATTATTACTTAACAGCATGTACAATATATTTATGTTGTGTTATCAATATTATCCTTGTATTGATAACTCATTCTAAAAGAAAATATTATTACTCAGAACTTTATGGTCACAGAACATAAAGGGAATTTAAATTGATATGTAAATATGATAGCTGATCAATAACAGATTTTCAAGCATACAATATATCAGAATAGAATCTTACAGAGGACACATAATGGAAACACAAGTTCACATTTTAAAAAGGAATGGTGCATATTTTATGATTGCTAAGGAAGAGTTCATTTATGAGTGTTGAAATAGATAATCATGAGTATCAAATTACTATGGTATTTAAATGCCATGAAACATATGTACTTATATGCACATATATATTGTTATGTTTTGATTTTAAGTGTGAATATTTTCCACAGACCAAAAGTGCATTCTTTCCCACTCGAACTTAAATTTTACAGATTCAGTAAATGTGTAAGGGGTTACATAATTGGCCCAAATAAAAGCAAGAATATTTGTTCCCACACAGTCATCTGAATTTGTGTGGTCTCAGCCCACCATTCACTCCCAGCTAGCTGAGTCTTGAAGCTGCACAACTGGGACTTCATTGTTGGGAGTTACTCAAATGCAACAGTCCTTAGGCTAGGATTGCTTTATCCATCATTTACAACTGAGAGGGAATGGGTCAGTGTGTGTGTGTGTGTATGTGTGTGTGTGTGTGTGTGTGTGTGTTAATGCTTTGAAAGTTCAGGCAAAAACAGATCAACACAAGCGTCTATAAGTGCATGGGAGGAATAAGATGTGGAAGGCATAGTGTCGGGCTGTTTTGGAAGTAATGATCTCTGGGAACTAGGAGTTGGGTGGGAATGGGATCATTAGCTTGGCCTTTTGCATCTTTGCATTACATTTGTTCACATGTACAACATATTTTATATTTTTAGTTTTTAAAAATAGCAAATAAAGACCGTTTAAAAGAGAAGAATCTCCTCCTATTTTAATTTGAAAGCGCCTGATTATCACACCACCCTACCTCATGGCCCCGGCACCTGCTGAACGCTAGGTGGACCTGAAGGTGAAAGGCCTCAGTAATTGGGAGCTTGTATTATTTCTACTCCCCCAACCAACCAGGGAGAGTGCTTCTCTAGACCTGGTGCTTTCCCTTTCCATGAGAGCTGTCATCTGGTGCCATTCTGTTCTCCTGACCCTGTCAGGCTGGTCGCTTTACCAGGGGAAGCAGCTTGTCCAAATGTGTGTGCCCTCTCTTCCACGCCCAGTGTCTCGGGTGTGCTGCCCATCTCCTGAGCCAGTCAGAGGATCTCTTGTTGCTCAAATGGGTTCAGACACGGTAAGAAGTGTCAGTGTCTTCTCCCTGTCTCCTCACCTGGAGGCACTGGATTCACACTCCTTGTCCCCAGGAGGTACATCTCCTACCTTCTGCTATGACATCTGGGGGGTACCCCTTGCTCTGTGCTCAGATACCCCAACTTGGGTTCTCGGTGAGCACAATTCCAACCCTTTAGTCATAGTTATAAAGGGTTTCTTTTTCTGCATTTTCCCTTGACATGTTCTAAGTTCCCGGGGTACATATGCAAGTTTTCTTCCTGACCAAACAGGCATGTTTATTTGTACATTGAACCTGATAGCTGGCAGGTCATACACAGCAATAAACAAAGTTCATTAGCCTCCCAAGGTTGGGAAGTAGGTGAGAGGGGTGAGGGTCAAATAGGTGACATCAGCCACACCATTTTCTGTCGGGGCACGGAGAGAGGAGTGTGAGAAGGAAGAGAAACTGCCTGACCATAAATTTCTCTCCAGAAATCTTAGTGGGTAGTCAGGGTTTCCTCCAACACCGCAGGCTTTCTCGGGTGAATGTCCCAGTCCATGTTATAAGTGGTAGGTTGCAGGAGGCACTGGGCAGCTTAGGCGAACAGGGATTTATCAGCACCAAGGAGGTAAACAAGTTCCATTTGGGGCTCACCACAGGTGCTGGATTTGCTTTGTGGATTACCTGTGACCTATTTGAAATGCTGATCTACTTTCTTGCCCCTGGGCCCCTGGGCCCCTTCTCCCAGGAGGTGCTCAATGTGCTGGAAAAGTATAAACTAATTTCCATATCTGCCTGGGGGAGAGCTAAAATGGAAAACAAACATACAGCAGAGATATTCACAGAATAGGCTCCCAAATCGAATACAAATGATGTTGCATCATCGCTTCTTCAGGGTGATTCAGGCCACTGCTAACCTCTATATAGGGTCTCATCAATAATTAATCGCTTTTCTGTTAGCACTAGGTGAGGTTATTTTATTTATTCCTTGAAGCACAACCAGTATATTTATGATGTCAATGCTCAACACACTCTTACTCCCATTCTCTCCTTTTCTCTCTTCCTTTCTCCCTTCCTCCATATTCCCCTGCCATCTTCCCCTCTTCCTTTATTCTCCTTCCCACCCCACCCCACAGGTGTACCATAGATGACCGAGTCACCCGGGTGGCCTGGCTGAACCGCAGCACCATCCTCTACGCCGGGAATGACAAGTGGTCCATAGACCCTCGTGTGGTCATCCTGGTCAACACGCCAACCCAGTACAGCATCATGATCCAGAACGTGGACGTGTATGATGAGGGCCCATACACCTGCTCTGTGCAGACAGACAACCACCCCAAGACCTCCCGGGTCCACCTCATCGTGCAAGGTGAGTTACAGCCAGATTTGTGCACTGGGGCCGCTGCCAGTGATGGAGGGGAAGGGCCATCTCAGCCTTCGCTTCTGCTCAAGTATGAAGACAGAAAAAGTCATTTTCCTCAACAGAATTCGGAGGTTGTGTATGAGCCCGGGATTCCTTCTCACTGCTAGGTTCTTTGCTGAGCACTGAGTTTGTTCACCGTTTCTCAGTTTTATCTCTGATCCTTCACTTCGTTTCAATAAGTTGTGTGGCACGTGCTAGTTGAGCTCTCTTAAGTCACTTAGTGCTCTGGAGTTGAGACCTGGTAGACTTAAAACATGGATGCAATATCCACTTCCTGTGCTTATAGACATAACTATAAATAATGATGGTGATTGTGTAGAGATCTGTCTTTAAATAGCTTTGATACGCTTCTTTTGTTATAAAAGGTTAATGATAGCGAAGTGAAATCATGTGACTTGGGACTGCACAATCCAGGAGGGGCTATTTCGTCAGGTTCTCCCTGCATCCTTGCTGAACTGACTCCTCTCTCATAGCTCCACAGTGCAGCCGAGGTCAAGAGAGAGATTAGGCAAAATTATATTTCTAGATCTATGTTGGAAAGAAATCTATGTAATTAAAAAGGGGGGATTGTATCTCTAAATTTCTCTCTTATTTGCCCTTAAAAAAATCAGGCACAGTATTTCACAAATTTTTATTCAAATTTCATTTTGCAGGGGAAACAATAGGGCTGTAGGAATGTCAGAATCTTAGATAGCAATTATTAAATATTAAAAATTAAAAATACATCAGGATAGCAGTTAGGAGAATGTGAGAGCCATTTAAAACAAGACAGCAGTACTTATTTTAAACTGCTCTGGACTCACTGCACTCCCTGCCTCATTACTATGTAAGCAGTTCCTGTCAGGTATTGGCTCAGGCACCCAGAAGTGCTCACCTTGCTTTATCCTCCAATGGCACATCCTCCCTTCCTTCCTCCATACAGTGAGGGGGTGGGACCATGAACTGAGCTCTCAGAAGGGGACTTGGGATCATAAACTGAGCTCTCAGAAGGAGTCTCTGTGTGCCCAACTGGTGTGGCACAGTGGTTTCGCCTTGACCTATGAACCAGTAGGTCATGGTTTGATTCCCAGTTAGGGTACACGTCCATGTTGCTGCCTCAATCTCCAGTAGAGGTGTGTAAAAGGCAGCTGATCAATGATTCTCTCGCATCATTGATCTCTCTCTCCCTCTCCCTCTCCTTTCCTCTCTGAAATCAATAAAATTATATTTTTTAAAAGAAGAAGTAGGAGTTCCTGTGTAGGATTTAATTCTTAGTAGCTGCCCTTTACCAGATCCCCTCTGCAGTAGATTCAAAGGATGCGTCAGTGTATGAAATGTGAACAGCATCCTCTTAGCTAACATGGAGTCTCTTGCTCCTGTCTTTCCAAAATATATCATTTTGCTCATATCATGTGGTTTTCTGGGGAGCTTGAGTAGGAGTTAGTGCGTCTTCCTCAGTCGGCCACTTGTGCCATTCAGATGGCCATCCTTTCCACCAGAGCGGCTCTCTGCTGGCCCAGCCTCCAGGCCTCTGACTGGGCCATTTCTCAGGGCCTGTGCTGGGCCAGCCATCTGCCCCTGCAGTGTCTGCCCCAGCAGCCCAGGTGCTGCCCTGTTGTGTGAAGCCTTGTCTCAGCTCAGCCTCCATGGCCTTCTCTCTAAGGCTTGCAGATGTCCACTCCAGCCTGCCAAGGGACAGATGACTGTCCATGCTTTCCCTTACCCAACATGCCCTGTCCCGGGGCATGGCTTGGGAGGATCACTGCTTGGGAGTTACATAGTGGCTACTATCTGGAAATCGAGCCAACTGTCACACCCTCTGCTTCTTCTCAGAGGACAGTGAGGCACTGGGATGAGCTGGGATGTCTGTCAAACATCTCAGGGGAGAGTGTGTTTTCCCTCTCCACCCAGCACCTGGCCTTGGTTCCAGAGGAGCTGGAATTCTGGGCATGGAAGTCCACACCTCCATGGAGCTCTCATGACCATGACAGCAAATCTATCTTAAAATCCAGAAAATGAGGCACTGGAGTTTAAAGGGAACTGTCAGGCAGTGCACAGAGACAGACTCAAAGGAACACGGCCCTCACTTTTCAGGAAATAGGACAGATTGTGTAACATGCTAAAGTCAACACAGGCCTCAAAGGGCTAGCAGTGTAGAACTGGGGCTTGATGTTCTTCCTGAGGCCCTGGGAGCTACTTCTTGCTTCCAGGGCCTCTGAACCCTGGGTATGAGAGGATCTGAGAATAGGCGTGATGCAGGCAGCAGAGTTTCAGTTCTGGGGTTCAGTTCCTGCAGTCTCCACATTCAGGCAGGCACCTCTAATAGCTCTGATAGTCTCGGGGGTCTGTGCACTTCAATTCAGAAGACCAGGAGAGCTGGGCGGGGAGTGGGGGGAGGAGAGGGCAGGCAAGGCAATGGAGAGAAGCTTCTGGAACACTTAGCAAATGGTCTAATGGTCTTTACACTTCCTAAGAGGGTTAAAGGAGGAGCTCTGAGCTCTGTTCCCTCCCATCTTGGTGAGCAATGGATGCCTTGTTCCTATTTGGGAGACCAGGTGACTTTCTAGCGGGTGGAAGCCGTGACCCTGCAGCTCAATTAGGAAAGCATCCAGGAGTCCCCCTCCTTCCCAGCAGCGTTCGGCTCGCGCCCAGTCCATAGATTAATTTTTCAGACTTGGTGTTAGTTCAGGTGAGATAAAGATAATGAAAGTTTCCTAATCCTCTTAAAGAAGATTTATCTGGCTGCGTAGAAAGCTTTTGGAATACAATAAGGCATGTATAAAACTGAGGCCTAATCTGCCCTTTAATTTCAAACTGCTGATGGGTATTGATTTTGCAATGAGGAAAACGGAAAACTTTCCGAGCTGCAACTGGTCTGTTTGGGGGAGAGGGGGAGGTGTTTATTTGTCATCTGTCCATTAGAGGATGTTAGACTCTCATCACTTCTGCCAACCAAGGGCCAGCAGAAAAGGGGGAATAGCCCCTTAATGCCCTAGCTTTGTCGCTCTTGCTGCTGGGACAGGGTAGATAGATTAAGAGGTTCTCTGTCACTAACCTCACAGCCTGTCCTTGCTGCTTTTATAAGGTGGCCTTTGCCATATATCTGATGGAATTAATTCCCAAGTCCTTCCCTTGGAGAGGAGCTGGGCCACATTACCTCTTTATTCTATGTCTGTACCAAAAACTTAAGTCCTTTGAGAATCCAGTAAATAATTGTTATCCTAAATGTGAGGATGCTGCAGCATTCTGAAACCATGTAGTTATCCTTGCATTGCCTTGGTTGCTGTCATGGTCAGTGGGCAGGAAGGAAGAGTGGGTGGCCTTTTGCTCCTTGGATGCTGATATTCTCTATCTGCTCTCTTGGCTCACTTCAGAACTCTGTTTACTACCCATTTTATTCTTTCATGGAATGAACTCCTCTTGCTAAACTCAAGTCTATGTAAAGAGCGGGAAATGATGAATGATGTTCATTTCTCACATCTGAGACTCCACAGCAAGCTTATGGAATTTCTATGTCTGCAAAACACAGTGGGTCTTCGGGGCTAGAGTCAGTTCAGGTGGCATTGGTCAGGACCCAACATTTCGTTCAGCAGGTAGAGGAGTCAGGTTTGCCAAGGAGCCCATACTGAGATTTGCTGAGTGCCAGCCAACCACTGCCTTGGGCACAGTAAGCATGAGCCTCAGTTGGTTCTCACACCAACCCTGCAAACTGGACATCATATTCACATTTCACATATAAAGAAACAAAGGGTTGGAAAGATTAAACACTTGCCCAAAGATGGGGCTACGAAAGACTTTAAATTCGCTTCATCCACTCATCTCTAGAAAATAAGCCATCTGAATAAAAATAGGTAAAGCACTCTATACGCATTATCTCTTTTGACTTTTCTTCACAAAAACCCTGGGAAGCAGAACAGAAAGTCATCAAATTCCCAGGAAAGAAATAGAGAGTCAGAGTTGAAGAGCAGTAGCTAGTAGGTGGCAAAGCACCTTTTAACGCCAAGTGTTGTGTTTTTCTCCTAGACCCAGTGTTGTGTTCACATACCAGATTGCTAACTTGTAGCTCAGGAAAAACACAGGTAAATTTTATTTCTGTGAGAGAAATATAAAAGTTCCAAGGCCTTACTGAGGAGGGTGAACCCTCAGCAGATAACTGCTGGGGCGTGTAGGCCACTGAGACTGGGGCTGGGGCTGGTGCAGGGCCTGGTTGGAGGATGTCCATAGGAACACAGATCTTCCACAGGTCACAATTTTTCAGAGGACCTGCCTATTTTCAACTCTTCCTTTGTAACTAACCTCTTGTTTCTGCTATTTCCCTGCTTCTCCCAAATATTACAGTCATTTAAATTAGCATGAATAAGTATGAGCCTCAAGAAAAGCAGATAATCAACCTGAAATCAATCTAATTTATACGGCCTCTGTAGTCACACTTGATCTTCACAGAGACAGGGTAGGAAGGTAGAAATGAATTAGAATGAGCATAAAAAACTCATTCCTCCAGCCTGAGCTCTGCTCCTGACGCCCAAGCCTGGGTCCTTGGGGTGTCACCTTCGTGCTTCTCATCCTGGTGAGGAGTAAAATTCAATGTAACTGATTTCCCTTAGGTACACACATACACACCTTAATCCTATGTTGTTGTTTATTATTAATCATTTTGCATTTGAAGATACGGTTCTGAAAAGGGTCCACAGTATGGGTGCAGAGCAAACACACAGGCCAAAGGGTCCACAGTACAAAATAATTGTAAGAACCTTCTGGGCATCATTTTCTTGGTTTCAAAATGAGGGGTGGAATGGATGGTAAGTCACACACACACACACACACACACACACACACACACACACACACACACGCGCGTGCCCGCATGTGTGCTCATACACGTCGAATGAGACCAAAGCAGAATTTGACATTGGCTGCACTTTGTCAGGGTCCAATATGGTTGACCCTGCCTGGGAATTGCATTTGAG